TCCTTTAGGACAGCAGAAACTTGAGTGATTTGCAAATAACCTGTCCATATTTTAGTTTTGTCTTTTTCTTTAATTCCAGAAAAGGCCTCATCTTTTGCTTGCTCCTTAACAATCACTGCCTGTACTTGGAGCTGCCAAGTTAAGTCCTGCACTTCAGTCAGCAGTTGTGTGCTGCCAAATAACGATCCCTACCGTTTGCACAAGGGGAAGGTTGCTGAGACTTAAGGTTACGCTTGATCGAGTGCTGATAGAGGCAATATAGTGATCTACAGTTTATATAACCACCGAGTAGGGCGGCATTAACGCATCATTTAAGTATTATTTTTTCCCCCTGGCTGTTCTGTGGCTGGATTTACAGATAGCAGCAGCTCTGCTCCCTCTCATCGCAAGAGTTGAAGATTGACTAAGGAAGGTGACTGAGTTTCCCTGACAGATGCTGCACATTCCTCCACGTCAGATTTCCTTATCCCAAGGGAAGCCTGCCCACTGCTCCTTAAATGCATTACCTTCATGATCACTTAAAAAAGGAAACGGAAAGGAAAAAAAAGCACGAACCTGAAATTAATTACCGAGTTTCCTTCACTAAGCTGTTAGTGAGAAGAATAAATAAAGGGTCCACACAATGTGGCTCCCTCTGGTACCGTTGCCATGCCACAATAACAGGGGATTTGTGATTCATTATTTACCAAATATGAGCCTGTGAGCAATTATCTAGGCACTTTAAGTATGCATGTTTTTCCTTCACCTGCAACCCCCCCCCCTCCCAAAACCCAAACAAAAACAAGACATATCTTAGCATTTATTGTTTGTGAGCATGCGTGTGTCTGAACACACCGAGCAGCAAAACTTCTTGATCCCAGCGACAGCACCGAGGCTGCTAAAAATGGAAAACCGCAGCCTGTTCTCTCCTACGCATGCTTCCCACTCAACTTTTGTCTCAAACACTCAACACCTCTCTCTCCCCAGCTCATGTGCAGGAAGTAAACACCACCGGTGGTCAAGTTATGCCGAATTCTTCCTCAGGACTTGACCGGGATTGCCTCAAGTTGTATGGAGGGGGTCGGGAGAACCCCAGGGGAAGGGATGTATGGGAAAGGGGGGTGGGCTGAGTCAGAAGGGGCCCATTAAAAGGGGTGAGGTGATGCTTTTTAAGATAGAGCTGACAGTGTGTTTGCACTCTGTCACATCCAGTTAGGGGCCCCAGAAATTCAAACACCACCCTGTAACTTTAAAGCTAAAGTAGGCAACATCACACAATGTTGGCTAAAAGTTACAGTTAATAGGTCTGAAAATAGCTTGGGATTCCAGCTTTCCTAAGGTCCAGAAAATAACCGAGATCTAAATGTATTTTGGGAGAACAGAGTTGATCTAAATTGTCAGAAGACCTCTTTTCCCACTTAAGCCCAAAGTCGTGATATACACTGGTGTAATGGAAGGATTTTTCCACTGCCTTATGCAACGTTAGGTCAGACAGACACAAACAGTTTCAATTCTAATACATCAGTCCTTTGCCAAGTTAGAAAGCAAGAGTTATTTGATTGTATCAATAGCAATAATTGCAAACGCTATCCTTATTTGGCTCAACATCCATTACTTCTGGACCATCGTCCATACCCTGACAATCACTGAACTGCTAAAGAAATCACCAGATGTGGGTGGTTAATGAAAGGTCTGCAATCAGGCAAGTCCATCGTCTGTTGGTCCAAAAAAAAAAAAAAATCTTTCAATTGTACGTCACATAAGCGGCTGTACAAACAGGTCTGACTCAGCCCCGCACAGGGTAAACACAGGGACCTGAGACATCGTTCACAATCTCATAACTTCTGACCACTTTACCTCTGAGGAAAAAAATTCAGGGAATGCACCGTCTCACTCCCCTCTCCTGAGGAAAGCAAAATAGAAATGGTTGCCAGGCTGTATGTGAATAAGAACCAGCGTGTTGATGTAACAGCACACGGACAACCAGATTAAA